TGTTTACTGACATGTACAACTGACACTTTAGTTACATTTAAAATATTTCTATTTAATGTTATGTCTTGAGAGTGCAATAAAGAAAACCGACATGGCGATTAAACAGATCCTGTATCAGCCATCCTACGGTGAAACAAGGCAATCATGTGTGCTTTCCGTCGGCCAATCCTTTTCCTAAAGCTTTTGAACTGCCTTTGATGCTGAAGAAACTTTGCGATTATAGCATTCGACGTGTGGCGGCTCCGGATTTTTGTCGGACGCCTAATAGGCTCAGGCTCTGGCCGCATTAACGAAGTTACAAAGCTGTATAACATGAGCACAAACAGCACAACTTCAGTCGACTCCATCTCCATCATGTCTGAGGTCGGAAGGTAAACAACAGACAGTATACGCGGGAAGTTTTTCTTCTTCTTCTTCTCTTGTTTTGTAGCGGATTGCAAACAACTTTAAGGTGCTTACTGCCACCTACTGTACTCGCCGTGAAGTGGTTTGTGGCCTGCCAGTAAAGCCAAAGCAGAAGAAGAAGAAGTGACGTCAGCGGATCATTTGCGTAATCTTCCCTCAGGGAAAAGTACTCCGGTGTGAACGCGATCTGTACTAAGTGCCCTGGGGTTAAAAGCGCCGGGGCTCTTAGTGCCGGAACTAAGTACAGGAAAGTACTTGGTGTGAACGCGGCTATTGGCTCTAGCGGTTATAGAGATTTCATTCATCAAAATCGAGCAAGGGGGGCCAGAGATAGGTCAAATCCACCCAAATGACCCCAGAAGTGGGGGTTTTTGGCTAAATCTCTCTAAAAAGGTCAAATTTCACTTGTTTTGCATCAATCTTGATACAGGGTACTTATTATATGTTGTACTTTGGATTCCTAAAGCTTTTAGTCTACTACATCATCCAAGGGTAGTTTTCACTATAAGTAAAAAAGAATTTTTGGACGGACACTATCATTTACAGTTTTTTACTATGTAAAATCTGAATTTTCTTTAAAATAAAAAACATCTATATTGATTCTGACTTTTCTACATCCAACTCACAGGTTTATCATTACTTTGAGAATAAAGATTATTAATTTAACCCTTTTAGAAGGGAAGATATGGTCATTTGTTCTGGGAATGTCATTTTCGAGCCTGAGACCTGAAAAACAGGCTCAGGGCTTAAGAGGTTAAATGTATATGTAAAGACATTTGGTCAAATGAAATGACACTGAGCCAGTGATAACAGCTACGTCAGCGTGGATGAAGCTGGTGCAGGTCTTTCTTCATGCCCCCCCCTCCGTGCTGTCCCCTCAGAGGAAGTGGGGAAACGGGATAAGACTCTGGACACCACGCTGTCTCAATGATCCACACTGTTAATATGAGAGGAAAATAAATGTTTTAGGAAATGAAAAATATGAAGTTAACAAATAAAACACAGCTCAGGGGCAGTCATGGACGGTAGGTTTTCCTACAAAGTTAAAGGGGACCTATCATGCAAAATGCACTTTTGTACGTCTTTTATACATGAATATGTGTCCCCGGTGTTCCAGGGAACTCACCAAGTGTCAGAAAACACAACCCTCTCTATTTTCCTCCATACCCAAATCTCTAAGAAAGGGTCTGCAACGGATCTGATAAAAACTGATCCAGATTTGAACACTTTACTGACGTCAGTAAAGTGGCGCTACGGCTATTGGGCCAACTCTCCACCTATCAGGGGAATGTGGGGTTGGGCCACGGCCGGCCATTGCCGCTCGAAAGCGCTGGAGACGCTGTAGTACATAGGCCAGGCCTGTAAGTGGCGCTGTAGTCTGCCACAAAAGCAGCGAAGAAGACTTCCCGCCCATAGTTACCATGGTTACCCTTCTGTTTATTCTCCGCTGTGGCTTTTTTTCTCCCTCCCCGAGGCAAGCGTTTGCTCCTGCTGCTGTAATTCAATGCAATCCCTCCCCGTCGAGGCAAGCACTGTAATTCTCTCCGGTTAGTCCACCAGCAGATGACAAACACCCACCTCTCCACCTCTTCCAAGGAACGAGGGGACCGTGCGGCAGAGTTTCAGTTAGGTTTTCTTTCGCCGGTCAAGATATCCGTTAAAGTTTAAATCTTCCGGACAAAATTAGAAAAGTGCCGGTCAAAGGTCTTCTTTGTTATTTATTGAGCTTTAAAACAAATGAATAACGACTCTATATAATAAAACACGGAGGACGGAGATCTCTTTTTCTCTCCCTCTTGACTTGATCAGAGCACGGCTCCCCTCTCCTGCAGGGGGGCGTGGTCAGCTGCAGCTCACAGAATCAGCCCCGTAGACAGCAAACAGCACATATGCCCCTTTCACACCGGCTCGGAGCTGGAGCTGGAAAAGCGCCGGTTTTTCCTGTTCACACCGCAGCGGCGCCGCGTCATAGCTCCGGAATGCGGTTCACTTCCAGCTCCAAAAAATTGTCGGTCTAGAGGCAAGAGCTTCGGAGCTATGACGCGGCGTCACTTACGTCTCTCTTACGTCGAGGCGTGCAGGAAACTAAACCCACATCCCCTGAACATGGGTCGACTGAAGAGTCTCGTCATGCCTGCCTACAAGCAGTAGCGCTGAGCAAAGTGACTAGAAGGCAACCACACACTTATAAAAAAAAAAACACACTTTATAAAGTCAGGCAACACTAACCAGGCTTCGTGTGATTCTGTTTATTTGTACCTTACTTTGACCATCCGTTCGCTGTTATTGATCATTGTGGAGAGCAGGCAGACGTTTTGTTTTTTATTATAGCAGCTATCGGATGGAATCAATACATGGGCTGCACAGGTTGTCATGTCCGACTATCACAAGTAGAATCATAATGAAAAATACGCCGGTAAAATGTGCCTGTAGAAAACGGCTTAGCAAGTAGTCAGTTTAGCTTCGGTTGCTATGCTAACATCACCCATGTTATACCAGAGAAACTTTCATAACAGCGTTGTGATGCCAAACAGCGTCAATTCAGACTGACACACATTCACTTAAGGGGAACTGGGGATATGTATCAGCTGCTTGTGTGACAGTCAGACAGTGAATACTTTAGAGCCGTGTGAGCTAACCCGGAGCTAACGGGAGAATAAACTCCCGTGGAAGAGCAGCCAGCACTGCAGCGGTCGGTAAATGCAGCTGAAACACATTAATAAACAATGAACCACGGCTTCGTATGATTAAAAGCAACACGATCAACGACCTGACGCAGTCCCCCCCCGTTGTTGTTGTTGTGAGCTCCGTTGGGGAGAAAATCAGCGATGTAAACGGTGACGTCATGACGCAGCAGCGGCAGCTGGGCGGTGTGAACAGAGCGGGAGCTGAAAAGGGAAACCGGAGCTGAACCAGAAAAGCTCTAGCTAGGAGCTAGAAAGGGAAAAGCGCTGGTGTGAAAGCCGCAATAGAGCGAAATGAGGCATGGCTAAAATGCATGATCTGTTTGGTATTTTGAAAACAGAAACGTATAAATATACCTTATATAGGTATGGCCCTACAATATATCATTTAAATATAGCATGATAGGTGTCCTTTAACTCAGCCTCCATTGATTTTCATATCAAATTAGCGTGTTAATAAAATAAGCTATCATGGCTTATACTTGCATATCTAAACAGAATCATGAAAGTCTGTTGGTAGAGTCAGGCACACGAGTCCGTTTGAGTGTGTGCGCTGGTGTCTGAACGCTCACTCACTGCTAGCTATGTAGCTAACTGTTAGGTTACTTAGCTTGCATTGTTATGGATCTAAAGGTAGCAAAAGCTAACTTTCATAGCACTTCTCACTTAACACAAAGAAACAGACCGTATAGTACAGCACAAACAACACAAATGATCAATACTTGCATATATTTTCACTTGTAGTATTATAATAATTGAAATGCTGGTTCTTCTGGAGGTGTTCTATCCACGCTCAGCTACTAGTGATGTGTCGGTCGCGAACGAGCTGATTCTTTTGAACGGCTCTTTGGTACGAACGAGGGGAACCGAGTCGTACTTGGTGAGAGCCGTTCTTGTTATCGTTCAATCGTTGGTCCGCACTCACTGCCTGCCAAAATCCACTCGCCTTTTAAAAAGCTTGATTTTGTTCCCCAAACGTATTCTGTGAAGACCCGCCCCTACTCTGATTGGTAGGTTTCAGCACGAGGAGTTAGGTGGGGTGGGTCTTAACGGAATACGCGAGAGAGAGAAGTCATAACAGGTGGTACGGGACAGATAGACGACGTGTTTTTCGGATGGAAAATTAGCCAAACGCGAAAACGCAGCAGCATTTGGATGCACTTCAACCAAAACCCAGGCAGTGATAAAGCGCACCATTTGTAAAGGCAAAATATCCTTTAAAGCAGGGTCAACAAATAATCTCCATCGCCACTTAAAAACACACTACTAATATTAAGAGTTGCGTGAATTTCATTCAAGGCAAGGCAACTTTATTTACTTAACACATACAGAGGGTAAATTCAAAGTACATTCACTGACATGAATGACATGGAGGCGCCACCTTGTGTCATGTTTACAATGCAGATTATTGACATTAGGTCTGGCAATGCAGTCAATCATTATCCTGGTGATTATTTCGCAGATAAACCTAGTAACCCCGCCCCCTTTAAAAAAAAACGGCTCTTTTGAACGGCTCTTTGAAAGGAACGGAGCCATAAGATCCGGCTCCCTTCAAAGAGCCATAATTCCCATCACTATCAGCTACCGCACCGCAGCTGTCTGCACTGTACACAATCGCTGGAGGACTGGGCTGTCACTCAAAAACTGAGTAGCCAATGGAAATGCACCCCTGAAAGTCCCGCCCACCTGGGAGGTTTGTGTCAGAATCTCAAACAAAAAGTGAAGGAGCGCAAATGAGAAAGCTGCGGCGAGAGCAAAAGTCTGATCATTGAGAAAGAAGAAACAAGAACTGCAAACAAAAACCTATGTTAAAACAAAGAAAAAAGACTTATAGTTTACATGATTACACAAATGATTTGTTTGCAACTTATAGCTTTGTTTTTGAAATTTATTTTATTTTACTTGACTCAGTTTTTTTTTTCTTTTAAACTCATAGTTTTGCTTTATTCTGAGAAAGTGTTGCTTTATCTTTATGATACAAAACTAATCCCATAAAGAACAGCAACAAATGGAACTGTGTTACATAAAAACCTGAAAGCACTCTTTGGTATATTCATTTACACTGGACAAAAGTGTACTAGTTGATTCTAAGCCCCCTACTTCTGCGAAAAAGCGACCATAATGTTACATTATAAAAAAATGTTTTTTAAAACAGACAGAAGTTGTTATACATACTGAATGTTCAGTATTTAATATTTTAAATAAACACCCCTGCTCTGCGTCCTCCAGGGACACAGAAGGAGCTTCATCTGAAGGACCAGCCGTCCTCGTGTCTTTAACTCTGGGTCCTGCCCAGATCCTCGTCAGTCAGAGACCTGAACACGCTGTGAAACATCTTCTGACTGACCTGTCCTGGATTGACTTTTGCATAAAAAGAGTCTGCTCCACCTCTCCTGGAGTGAGAACAAGTTTAAGATTTAACATCCGGGACACTCAACATTCATTTTCTTACAACAACATGTCAAATAAAACATCATCAAACTGAAATGAAAACAAATTGTCACCTTCTGAAATGTCCAACAATGAAGTACTCTACTGAAAATACTCAGTGTGCATTGTGATTGTCAAGAGGATGAGTATTTGGCACTGGAGACGAGTTTGCTCTGAGGTGAGCTCAGAGGCAGAGAGCTGCGGATCGCCCCCAGCTGATGGAGTCCGCCCCAGGCCCTGGAGAAAGCTTTTCATAGAAATGGCAGCTGGTACAACCAACCTGTGATCCCTCAGCTGCAGGAGGGCTTCTGTAACCTGTCCTCCATGTCCATATGTTTGACCCAATACGTACTTCTTCCTGCATTGTAAACGTCCATGTTTACCACCAACATGCTCATCAAGACATTACTCCGTAGTGCAACAAGTAGTAAAAAGTGCCTCAGGGTACCTTTAAAGTGACTCTTATTTTTTCTCTTTTTTGGTTCTGTCCAACAAAGATGAGCAAGAAGTTGATACAGCTGAAAGCCTCTTGACAATCATAGTAGTTTGAAATGCTTCCAACAAATATAATGCATTACTCAAAAGGAACAAAAACAACAACAGAAAACAATGTGTTGTGTGTGGCAGTCGAACTTCCCTTTGTTGAATTGAATATGCGGTTGTGTTCTAAAGTCGGACTTTGATTGCCTACGCTTTGCGCACGTATTGCATAAGTGTGTTGATTTCTAGCTGCGAAAACAGTATTAAATAAACACGAGTACATCTGTACACAGCCTCATGCCGTCTACAGGCAACTGGCGCTAAACCCGATCACCAGACATACTATACACAAGAACCATTTTCAAAAGTATCACTGGAGCTGGTATCCAGTCCTTCACAATAAGAGCACGCTTTGAGACAAGGAAAGAGTCACCTGACCCAGAGAGTTCTTTGGATACTGAGTGCTGTGTCTTTGTTGTTTTTCAACCATCTCAAAGACTATAAATGCTAAGTTATTTATCTGGGAAGCAGATTTGGGATGCATACTGTACGTTCCAGCTACATCTCTGATATAAGGCAGGGCAGAGGTTCTAAAAATCTCCGGGCTTTTTGAAAGCTAATAGGACAATTCACATCTATCTTTTCCTCTTCCGTTCTTCTATTTATCTCTTTGTAAGCTGCTGTAAAAGGATTACAAAAGACAGCTGTGTTGCCTCCTTTTCCCCAGAGGCGGGCTGCCATCCGAATGTCTCCGGGCTTCAGCAGGAACATGAGGTACGGTTGTGTCAGGAGAATGATGTTTCTGCTGCTTAGTCCCCCGAGTCCTTACTGTCAGAGTGAGGAGTGTACTTCAGTCGAAATGAGCCTGTGGAGCACAACAGAGAAAAACACTTCCTGTGTTAGAGCTTTGGCAATAAAGGGAAAGAGAAGTGGGCCAAGCAGCCTGTTCTTATGTCTTTTTGGATAGGTTGTACCACATTACCAAGACCAATGAATTCCACGATTCTTGACACAAAATGTAATGTACAACAAGATATACTAAATGAACAATTTAATAAGATTACATTCACATTACATTCCTGCTTTAACGTTTACAGTTAGCTGTTATTTAGCTAGCTGTTTTAGGCTAACTGATATTTTTAGCTACTATTTACTAGATCTTCTGGCCATTTCAACATTTGTTGTTCACAATGTAGCATTATCAGAGTACACACATTTCTTCTTCAATATGGTGCATTTAAAAGAAATGTATTAGGCAATAATGAATCTCTGGTAGAGCTGTACCAAAGATTATAATATGCAAAATGTGGGAAATCAACCACTTACTGACCTTCGATTTGAAGGATTTACATTTTTTTGTAATTACATTAAGAATACCACGTGTTGTTTTGCACCAATAAACTGAAAAACACCAACTAATTAATCCGTCCAATGATTTTTCAGCAATTAAGTAGAAATCAATTGATCCGGAATTCATAAAAAATTGCTTTTAAAGTATGCTTTAGAGGAAAAAAGATCATTCAATTTGCCAAATCGAAATGACAAATGAATAATTATATTTTTGAATTGAAGTTGATCATTTTTTAATTGAACACTACAAAAAGTGAATCTATTTCGATTCATCCCCGGTCACTCACCCTGCAGGGCGGAGTCCATGGCCGGCTGCTTGCACTCCTCCGCTCTGTGTCCGTTGGCGCCGCAGTTATAACACGACATGTTCCCTGCTGCCCGTTTCTGGCCTCCAACAATGACATGGGGCTGGTAGAAGCCATAGCCCTGCTGCTGGTCCTGTGACAGGGGGCTGTGGTGGTAGAGTGGGGGGGGCACCATCATCGGGTAGGAGAATGCTGTACCCCCACTGACGGAGGCGCTGGGCGAGGCTATGAGGGGGCTGAGGTGAAGCAGGGGCCCCAGGGTGAAGAGCGAGGGGCCCGCGGAGAACGGCTGGAGGTACCCGGCCGCTGCGTATCCGGGCAATGCCCCGTAGGCGCCGCAGTTCCCCCGACAACCGCAGGAGCTGCAGACGCACATGGAAGGGGTGTGGCCTGAGTTCTGATCCAATGAAGACGCAGAGGAGGGGGAAGGGGAGGGGCTACAGGTAGACTGGGATGGAAAGTAAGTGTTGCCGGGCACTGCAGCTACTGGCACACTGCTTGCGGTTGCCATGGGAACAATGCCACAGCCGCTACTAGAGATGCCAGACTTTGCAGAGGAACAGGACGAGGAGAAGGAAGTAGGGGGGTAGGAGTAGTATCCAGACGGAGAGGGGGGTGTAGAGGAGGAGAGGTGGAAGTGCAGAGGGGGGTGGGACACGTGGTGGAGGCTGTTGGAGGTGGAGGTCAGAGCCGCGCTGGTTTCCACCATCAGACCCAGGGAATCCCCCCCCAGGCCCTGGCACAGCGAGTTCTGGAGGGTGGAGGAGCCGTCCATGTTCAGCCCAGGGAACAAACTCTCCAGCCTCATTCCCCTCCCCACACTGACCCCCCCACCGAAGCCTGCAGCAGACACAGGCAGGCCCAGAGGTTTAGTCCTTTCATCGGAGCATAGTGGAGGGGGGGCGGGGCTTACGAGGCGAGCTCAGGATGCGAGCCGGGTTTGAGACAGAGGAGAGCAGGGGCGGGGGGAAACTGGCCTGTGGGTGGTAAGGAGACTGCAGGGGGCAGAGGGCGGGGTGGGAGGAGCAGGAGGGTGGGTGTAGATGAGCAGGGTCTGTCTGGACGGGAAGGACCTGGGCTGTGGGGCGACTGGAGCCTGGGGGGCCGCTGGAGTTCAGGATGAAGAGACAGGAGCGCTCCTTCTCTGGACCCCCACCTGCTGCCTCTGGGCCCAACACTCCTGCAATACAGACACACAGGGAGGGGAAAGTTACCTTTAGCAACGAATGGCAGAAAGTCTTGTTTCAGACACAGTGGAGACATACAAATATAACCCTGAAAATGAGCTTTAAGTCAGAATTAATACTTAAAATGAGTTGCCAATAATTTCAAAGACTACAAATCAACCTGTGTTCATTCAGAAAAATGTGTTTCTAAGTAAATATAGATGTACTGCAAATGTTGTGTTTTTTTATTTATTTTGCAATTAGGTATTCAGTTGTTTGTGGGATTAAAAACATCACAGCCTTTCTTAGCTTCCATAATAATCTTATAGAGGAAGTATGGGTCCAAAAAAGGGTACTGCTTTAACTACAATAATATTAGTCAGTTATGTTAGTCCACTAACACAACTTTCAAGCTGCTGCATTCAAGAATTTCACAGTCCTGTGAGAAAACGTACGCCTGTGAATGTCTCTGGTCCTGTCGAAGGAGGAGTCACAGTAGAGTGGTGTTCGGGGGGAGCAGGAAGAGCTAGAGTAGCCTGAGGACGAGCTGCTGTCTGTTGAGACGGGATGATGGTGCGGTACAGCGTCCACCTCCACCCGCAGCTCTCCTGGAACACATTTCAATACACTGCAACTTAGGGTTTTATAATCGATAGGGAACAGAGCATTGTGGACGTTTAACAATCATTACAAAAATGCATACATTCACCCTTGGGCTACTGTCTCAAACTGCTGGACAAAAGAATAGCATATAACCTTTTTAATATAAGATGCAATCAAACAAGGAAACAAATGTTGTTCCCTGGTAAACTGTGCTAAACATTGTAAACTTAAATAAATCCAAGATAAAGCCTGAACAAAAAACAGCTGTGTTACCTGCAGGGGAGATGGGATGAGTCAAGGGTCCCATGTGACTGGAAGGCGTCACTCTGGCGATGCCGCTGCAAGGACGCTTCTCCAGCTTAATTTCCCTGCAGGACACACATAGGATGTTTCACATCTTAAACTGCACTGTAACTTTTAACTTTTATCCATGTATTTTTTCTTTTAATGTTTATTTTATTATCTTTTCTTTTTAATGACTGATTTTAAATGCCATTTTCATAATGTCTTCCATTTTTGTAAAGCACTTTGAATTGCCTTGTGTTGAAAGGTGCTATATAAATAAACTTGCCCTGCCTTGCCTTGCCTTACTCAAACTGTAACAGAACAAAATATCCCATTAACATACATATATATTTGTTTTAAGTTTCCTTAAATATGTTTCCAACTCATGTCGGTAACCTATTTTGCATGACTACAATCAGTTCATATCCAAGAGCTGAATGGCAGTGTGTTTCCACCAGGGGGAACCATTATCCACTCATCCCGCTCCTTAGCATCCCAGCATCTCCTTGAGTCTAGACAAACACATCTGCAAACCCCTCAACCCCACACATGGAAAACCACAGCAGCAACTTTCCATTTCCTGTGTCTTATTTAAGCAGACACACACACACACACACACACACACACACACACACACACACACACACACACACACACACACACACACACACACACACACACACACACACACACACACACACACACACACACACACACACACACACACACGTGTTGCTACATGCCTAATGGACACCTGTTGACACTGTGGATGGAAACACGATCAAGAGATAATAAGAGCAGGTTCACATGAGAACAACCCAGGTGTGTGTGTGTGTGTGTGTGTGTGTGTGTGTGTGTGTGTGTGTGTGTGTGTGTGTGTGTGTGTGTGTGTTTGTGCAGTGGTGGAAGAAGTATTCAGATCCTTAACTTGATAAAAAGTACCAAAACATTATTGCTAATACATTTAAAATCTGTATGAGGAAAAGGTACAAAAGTATTGTGGGCAAAATCTACTTAGAGTATCAAAAGTACTCATTCTGCAGAAAATGGCCTCCATATTGTATATATGGTAACACTTTATATTAAGGTACACAAATTCACCATCAACTAGTTGTTAATTAACATGCATATTAGCAGTATTGGCTCTTTATTAGTCATTATAAAACACTTATTAATGCCTTATTCTACATGACAATATTCTACAAGTAATAGGCCATTAGTTGAGAGTTTTTCCTCAATAACCCTCTAATTACATGAGTTTTGGTATTTATGCTCTGCTCAATATGAGCCCTGGAGGGTTCATAGAGAGAAAAATAAATAAACGAGGCCACGTTTTATTAATTTGTGCGCACGAGATGTAATTCGTGGCCTCAATTTAAATAAAGCGAGGCCACGTTTTATTAATTCGTGCACACGATATACTTTCTCGTTCGCACAAGATACTTTCTTATGGTTAGACACATCGAACTGCCCGATTATTACGCCATATTATTAGTTTTATGAAGAAGATGTCCGGTCGCCAGGGCGTGTGTGTGTGTATGTTTGTGTCTGGCCGTGTCTCAATTCAGGGGCTGCACCCTTCGGAGGCTGCATTTGTAGACCGCATACGTCACTTCCGCCGAAAGAAGGCTGTCCCAATTTAAAAAAAAGACGAGACTCCTCCGAATGCGGCCCACGAATGCGGCCTACTTTTCCCGGATTTGGAGCATACATCTGATGTACACTCCGCGGTCTACCATATCCCAGGGTGCAATGCACGCAGGGAAGAGTGAGTTTTTTTCAAATGAAATGGCTTCCGGTCTCCCCAGCAGAGTGGATTTAAAAGCAGCAGCAAGCGGAGGAATCACTAATGAATGTGAGTATTGGGTTTTAACTTACTTTAAATTAACTAACGTCACACACGTCAAACCCAAGGGGCATTAAGCTGGCTAGCTGGACGTACTGCACTATTGGTTTACACTTATTCTTAATTCAATTCAGAAGTTTACTAAAGTCATACAGAGATCTTGGCTCTGTTATAGATAAGTTATACTTTATATTACATAAATAGACCAAAGTGAAAACATTTAGACCTGTATAGCCTACAGTACGGTGGGATTTATAAAATGCTACCCTGACGCGTAGCTGCTGTTTGCTTTATTTATTTCTCTGACATGTTGCAATGTTTTACTGTTTATTAAACTTGGGGACAACATTACAACCTTTGTATTCAGCTCATGCTGCTTTGAGGTAGGACAAAAAAAAAGCCTATTTTAAATATTTCCACCAGATTTGATCATCTTTTATTTAGGTTAAAGTTTATTTAATTTATCCTAATCCCATAATAATAAGACAATCACAAATAGACAGCAGCCTTTTGCTTGATTTTTGTTTGTGCAGTGCTGTCAAAGGGATGCAAGTGTGACTGTCATTTCATCTCTTTAGTTTAAAAAAAAACAAAACAGTACATCATTTTTAAATGATCCTTTAAGGATTGTTTGTCTGAAATGCTTAGAGTTACATTTTGCAATAATACTTTTGCAACCCTGTGTTTAATACGATTAATTCACTTTTTTCTTGTTTTATTAGTACAGAAAAATTAAGACTTATTTTAAATATGAAATAATATGATTAAATTACATCAGCTATATATCATTTACTTGCTAACTTACTAATGTAACATTACTGGGGGCTAAAGGAACAGCTTAATCTTATTTACCTGGCCATGGTCCTCTTTATTTCATCGACGTCTGTGATCTCCAAAAAATGGTTAAAGTAAAAAAGTAAAAGTAACGTTTCTGGATCCTTTTCAGCTGAGTTAGCTTGTAATCTAATTTGCTAGCAGGCTGCTGGAGCAGCGCAACTGAACAGCGCGTATCACGTGATGTAAATACGAAGCGCTCCGTAGGCTAGACCGTCTCATTTCGTAGGCCGCTCGGCCCAGCCTACCCGGTCTACGTGGGGTGGGTCCTCCATGGACCGCGTAGGCTGCGTACTCCGAAGGGTGCAGCCCATGGATGTATAGTAAGAACTGGATACAGCGTGGGAGGCGGGGCCTCGTTCATTCCTATGAGAGTTGCTCATTGGCGCATGAAGACAAAATGGCCCAACTTTTGAGAGAGCTATCTCGTGCGAACGAGAAAGTATATCGTGCGCACGAATTAATAAAGCGTGGCCTCGTTTTATTTAAATTGAGGCCACGAGAGAGAGAGAGAGGCTGGTGCCCCACGAGGACGAAAACGGGTTGTATCCGCATATTTCTCTTGCGTATAGCCCTTTTTGCCACACGAGGCCGTAACTAAACGATAGAAACGGACCCCGCAAACGATAACGGGTCCAAAGGTGGATAGATCTGGGAACGGAGCGCTCTGGGGGGTCCAACGGCTCCGTGTGATCGCCTCTATACGATCATTTTGTGATAATGATGACGCAATAGTCCTGCCTCCCCCCACCTCTGCTGCTCACCCCCGCAAAAGTAAACTGCACACTGAATTCAGATTATTTATCTTTATCTCGATATGGACATAAACGCGAGTGAAGTCTAATCTGACAGGACGGAGACACGCAGCTCCTCCCGCTGTGATGCAGCTGGAGGAGCAAAACACACACTTCAAGTCAGATCATCACCCTTAGCTATTTTAATTAGCCTACCTCTCAAACTACCTAAACCAGTTATAAATATGTTTATTTGTTACTGTCGGCCGGGTCACTCATTACTGGATCAGCTTAATAAATAAATAACAAAGAAGACCTTTGACCGGCAGTTTTATAATTTTGTCCGGAAGATTTAAACTTTTACACACGTTGACCGGCGAAAAACTCTGCCCGGTTCCCTCGGCCCCGACCACGGTGAATGAACAGAAGGGCAACCATGACGACCATGTTTCTTCGCTGCTTTTGTGGAGGAAGTTACAGCGCCACGTACAGGCTCGGCATATGTACTGCAGCTTTTTCCAGCGGTTGGAGCTAAGAGAGCTAAGAGAGAGAGAGAGAGAGAGAGAGAGAGAGAGAGAGAGAGAGAGAGAGAGAGAGAGAGAGAGAGAGAGGAGAGAGAGAGAGAGAGAGAGAGAGAGAGAGACAGACAGACAGACAGACAGACAGACAGACAGACAGACAGACAGACAGACAGACAGACAGACAGACAGACAGACAGACTGACTGACTGACTGACTGACTGACTGACTGACTGACTGACTGACTGACTGACTGACTGACTGACTGACTGACTGACTGACTGACTGACTGACTGACTGACTGACTGACTGACTGACTGACTGACTGACTTAGCAATAGTTGAAACAAAGCGGTATAAAACATGGTTTTGACAGGCGCGAACGGTCGTGAGTGAAGATCAGTTGAGCGTTTCTTTGCCCCCGCCCAGCAGCTGTTCTTCTGAGAGGAACTGCTCTGACAGCTCTGTCTACTGGGAAACACGCTAAAAGTCTTTCTGGAGGTAAGCAACGCATTTCACCCAGTCTGAGAGTAAAAGCTTTCTCGAAGGTTCGTTTTGCTTTCTTTTTTTTGTTAACTTAACCTTAAAGGTGGGGTAGGTAAGTTTGAGAAACCGGCTCGAGATACACTTTTTGGTTATATTCCATGGAATGCTCTTAACATCCCGATAGCGATGAATATCTTAAAGGGCCCATGTCATGCTTTTCCGGTTATTACCCATCCCCTTGTGTGTTATGAAGGTTTTTATGCATGTAAACGGTGTGCAGAGTCAAAACCCTCAAAGTACACCCTGTAGCGAGTAAAACTCAGAAAATACCTCCCCAAAACGCCTCGTTGGAGATACGTCACTGCCCATTTGAGTCTTCCATTTAGTTCCGGGTACGGCATGATGTCATGCGGTACCCGGAACGAAATGGACCAATCCCGAAGAGCTATGGCCACACCCAGCGGCGCTGGCCGCACCCTCTGCCAGCCTAACATTTACTGTTGGAAGCTCTGGTTCAGTTCACAATCGATCCAGTCATGCCAATGCCAAGGACCTGTTTCCTGAAATGTGAGGAGAAATCTGAGCTGTTTGTCCTACCGACGGAAGAACCACGACGAAGTCAGTGGTTGAAATTTATTTTTAACACTGTTCCTTCAGAGGTTCGAA